CATAAACACTATCTCACAAGTAAATGATTGGTTTTCCTGGTCCATTAAAGTCTATTCCCTCTCTTTTCCCAGGTACACTCAGTAGCTTAGACCAAGATAAATAGTTCACTATAGGATGTCACTGTCACCCAAAGGACAAAACCAAAAAGGGAAGCTAGATTTAGGCTGAAAAATACAACTCTCAAAGTCCCTGGACCAATGCTAGTGGGTCAATAGTGTCTTCAGTCTCTAAGTTGGATTCATTTTTAATACCGTCTTCCTCTCCTTCAGTTCACATTTCTGTTCACCTCACATCTCTGGCTTTGTTCCTTAGAGGGTGAGGAGCAGGAATGCAGTTGATGTAGAAAGGAAAAATTCATCTCTTATTGGGGTCCATCAGATATTTAGGACTGTCTTCCCCCTTGACTCCTTCAGCCTCAAACCCTACTGCTTAGATTTTGCTGTCAGTTGAGTTCACCACCAAAGTAATTTATGAGAACCTGTTATTCTGGACCGGGAGATCCATGGAGAGACCAGAGCACTGGTGAAGTAAAGAAGAATTAACAAACACTAAATCAGCAGCACAACCATTCACAGAGCAAGCAGAGCATAAGCAAAGATCAGGAAAGACATCTCCTTAATGGAACCAAGCTTGAACATGGTGGAGGACTGCAGTGAATGCTTCATCTCCAAGGCCTGGCTATGACACAAAGCATCACTGGGCCCTGAAAAGATCAATGGATGAATCCATTCTTCACAGGCATGACCCTTCACCAGGAAATGGGACTTGCTAACTACGAGAGCCCCAGTGCATCAAAAAATGGCAAAGCGGATGTTTTCTGCTACAGATGGGATTATTCACTTGATGAAAGAAGATGAGAGATAGGTTCTCTGTTCCATCTCACCTCTTCTTGCCCAGACCAACTTTCAGAAAAGGGTGAAATGTATAGTTACACACAGAGCCCTGTGCTCAGAAGTGCTGTGTGCTTAAGAATCTATTGCCGGGCTGGGGATTTGGTTCAGTGGTTCCACTACCTAACTAACAAGTGCAAGGACCCAAGTTTGATCCCCAGTACCAATAAATAAATAAATAAATAAAGATCTACTGCCATTACCTTGAGATTTTTAATGATTTTGTCTTTGAATAATTTTGTCTTTTGTGTTTTATAAGTGAAATCTAGGGGACCAGGGAGAGTGAGTAGAGAAAATGAGAGTAATGTATGTCCCCTTTTCCTTGCCGTCCTATTGTGTTGTGTGGATACAGAATAATGCTAGTGCAACTCAAGGCACATAAATTATAAATCTGTGATTGAGGAAATGTGGACATCGCAGTACTGAGACAGCATGCTTTCAGTTGGAGCCAGGTGCTTCAAATACAGAGGTGCAATGGGTCTCTAAACAACACTGGTAACCAAAGAACTCCAGCCCATTGCTTCTCACCCGTGTCTTTCCCTGCATTTGCCACCTGCCTATGGAATGATAAAAATGGAGACAAGGAAAAGAAAAGAGCGAGCAACCTGTGGTTCCTCTTGCAGAGTTTTTCTACTCAGTAGCGAGCAGAAGGTTGAGAGTGTCAGTGGAGTGCCTTGGGGCCAGGAATTGAAATAAATATAGTTGAGCGTGTTTTGTTCAAGCTTTCCATTGTTCTGGCATGAGAAGGAGCTATGCACATATGACTTACGAGCTGTATAATTGCCATGATTCTATAAACGAGTTCAATGCTCTTACATCTTCATATAAAATTGGTGTCACGCAGTATAAAGATGAATGGTGAAATGCATGCTGATAATTGAGAATTTTAGTTTTTATTTAGCATGACATTCAACAGCAAATAAGAAACACCAGGACATGTCTACAGAGAGACTATGGAACAGAGAAGAAGGTTTTGTATCATAGTACCTTTAACGGCACTTTCTTCCTGCTTCCTACATTTTCTCTGAGCTGGGTTCCACAAATTATGTAGCTGTCCCTGCTCCTGCCCTTGTTTTCCTTTTGGGAAATAGGAGAAGCACCAGGGCTCATTCAGGGTAATGGCGAGAAAAGTTGGGCTTCGTTCTTCTCATGAATGGGTGGACCTCTGCTTGCAGGGATGCTTTCCAACGTCGTGTGCAGGGGTGACTGACACTCCTGAATGAGTATGAGGAAACCCAAGGCAAATCCAGGTTCACCACATACACTCAGGGACATCAGATCCACCCCTAAACTGGATGTGGCATCTTTGGACTTGACAGAAGAGGAAGAAAGTCCACTCCCTCGTGTACTGCGCGTGAGCTCACGTGTGGCAAGAACCCGAGCCATACCTATGAGTATCGCTGTGGTCTCTGCACACGCCTATGCGTGTACTCTACACATATGTGTCTGCATGTGATATCTGTCCGGCCCTGGGGGAACCTGAGTGAGGTGGGTATCAAAGGGCTGCCGGATGGACATGGAACACCTTTAGTGAGAAAAACATGGCATGGAGCACACATCGGTCTGGTGTCCTTCAGGAACTGGGTCCTCAGGGACCACAGCTTAGGAGAGAAATACTGATGGGTCCAGGGGCCAAGGGAGGATATACTGTACGGCTGAATTTTCAGCACCGATTTTTTTTTCTTGTAACCACTATCCTCTCCCTTATATCAAAAGGAAACAAATAGCCGTTGACTTAAGAATGGAAAGAAGTTCCTTCTGAGAAGGAAGGCCACTACCTGTCCTTCCTCTGCTGGCCAAAAGATGATGGCACAGTTCCCTGAACCAGGACCCTAAGTGATGTGGGCAGTGGACGCTGGACATGCTGGCACGGCTTTCCTGCACACCAGCAGGTCCACAGGCTGAAGTCCCCAACCCCTCTGCTTGCTTCAGCTCATTAAGGACTGCAAGCACCGTGCCAGCCCATTTCTAGGTCAGTCCTCCTTGTCTTCCGGTTATCAGAGCTCTGAGGGTATGGCAATGGTGTGCTGAGTCTAACTTCCAAACATTCTCCCCAGATTTCCCACCTTACTGCTGAAAGAGAATCCATATTTACGCTCATTGAGTGGTGACCCAGCCACCCCCAGGAGGAAAAAAATCCCACAAACTCACTCCTTCAAAATTACACCCCACCCGGGCGGTCCTTACTACCGGCCCAGAGCCCCCTTGCCAGTATCTTCCCCCATATCTCCAATGTGACATCCAGATGGCAGCCGTTTCTATTTAAAGACCACGAGGGTATTCCACCCCCCCACCCACACACTTGTATTCCACATCCCAGGAGTGGCTGCTCTTCAGTGTAGAGGTGATTCAGCTTTCCTAGAAGATCATTTGCAGGGGGGAAAAAAATACAGTACTACAGCTGAGGCTGCTGCCTGCTTCCCTCGATTGAAAAAAAAAAAAAAAAAAAAAA